AATAGTATATATTATTATATATTACTATAATAGTAATATATACTATTTTTTATGTATAAAATTACAATAGCAAAACGGAGCAAAATTACTGAGTTTCTGTTTCATTGTATTTTCTTAAATTTTGTTCATCGATAAATGCTCGTTTCTACCAATGTAGATTAACTTTAATCTTAGTTCAACTTACTCTTCATCTTTTTCTGATTCTTAGAACTAGAAAAAAATAAAGAGTTAGTTGAACCGAGATTAAACTACATTGATAGAAACGGGTATAAGTAATCAATTTTACTTTAATATCCATTGATTATACACATCATTGTTGTCATTTGAAAAATTAAATTACTTCCGCAAAAATATTAAATAATAAAAGTTAGGTTCAATATTTAGCATGCTTTTTTATACGTCCTTAAAATGAATGTCTTCCGGACATTCTAAGAAAATAATAGTTGTTAGATTTTGTTGGTGATAACAGACTTACGCATTCGGTGTAAGACTCTTGTGATCACAAAAAATTCCTTATTATTGAGCGCCTTTCTGTTTGCTGATTGGAAAACTCGAAGTCTCATAGAAAATTCTCCCATAAGAATTAATCGATCGGACTATCGTTGTACTACTTGTGGAAACAGTGGGAAGGCTCGCGGAGATGTAAAACGGATGATCACCCTGATTGTTTTATATGGTTTTATATATAATTTACTTGGATACATATTCTAAGGTGTTCGTCGCGATACAATAGTGTGTCGTTATTATAACTGGTCTACAATTAGCAGCGGCAGCTTTCGGTTTCGTCTGGCACGGCAAAATATATAATTTGTTTCGTCTATCTACCCCCCTCCCCCTCCCCCTCCCACCCCTCGCCTCTACTTTCTCTGTCCGTTCTCTTAAGTCCTTCCCCAAACTTCGTCCCGAAGCGAACGCAATCGCGATGACCTTATGAGTAACCATTTAAAACCGTATTACAAGCATCGTCCATAGAAATACACATAGTCTATCGATAGCCCCCTCCCCCTCCCCCTCCCTCCCCCGGCCCTAAACGAGGTTCCTCCCCCGTCCGGCTCGACGTCGTCCTCGGCGCGGCTGCAAAAAGAAGCGCGATCAGGCGACAATTTGTGCGATAATTAAGTACAATCGACTGTCTATCCTCGCCAAGACCTGCAAAGCGACAACAAGACTTTCCAGGTGAAACTTATAGGAGAATACGACATTGAATAGAAAGTGTCCTGATCAGATTTGAAAATTGTAGCGTGGCATTTAACAAAGTTCAATTCATGGAGATTTTATGAAATTAAATATTAATCGTCGTAATCGAATAACACACATGGAAATTTAATTGCGTTGTTATTGTTATGGTCCTCTCTTTTTAGCCAACGAGTTCCGATTTTCGAAAAAACTTCTCAAATCGGAACTTGTACACAGTTGTTCTTGTTATAATCGTTTAAATGGCGTACGCTCATTGAGTTTAACCTGGAACGCCCTACAATATCGTGAATTTGAGCGTTTTGATCCTTCGCGACTTGGCGATATGAAATATCTGAAAGAGACATGCATGAGAGTCCAGTCTGTCTATCTCTCTTGTTCTTCGATTCTTGCATGTACTTGCTACCTCGAAAAAAAAATCTTCCAATTTGATTCCAGATCCTTGAACTCCATTCTCAGAATGTTCAGATAGATCCCAAAGTTTTGCCTTTCTTGAATTCCAAATTCCAAGAGTACACGGATTCTTAGAATCCGCCTCGCGGATCCTGGCGATGCTCCAGTCAATAGTGCGAATCTCCAAGATATAAATAAAGACATCCAGAAAGCGACGTTGTCTTGTCTTAGACGTCTCTCGGAGCGTTCTCCTTCAAGCTCGTATTTTGAATTCCCGCTGGCACTAAACGGGGTTTTTTGCTTTCGATCGTTCAATTAACGAGCGTCAAATGCGAACGGGAGATTGGCTAAACGCGCTCGAGCCGGCGAGCTAATTAGAAAAATGCGTACAAAATAGGAATGTGGCGTACGCTCGTTTTCTTACCCCAAAAAAAAAATGAAGGAAACGGGGGAAGCATAGCGCGGTAAAATTCTACACGTTGCTGAGAAACTAATAGATAATCGTCGAAAGACAATTTTTACTGGCCTCGGTATCGTTTCGTTGATCTGTCCCTTCCAGTCACAATTATTATTATTTTTTTTACGTTACTCAAATACGAAATAAATATATTTGCATTTCACGCAGAAAAAGAAGAAGACACAAGTAGGAGGTGTAACTAGAAAGAACAGATCTTTAATGAGATCGAATAATAAATTACATGTCGCCAAATCGTTAAGGAAATCGACTACTTTCGAATTTTTCAAAACATCCGTCGAGGAATTGATAAATGGGTTACTTCTGAACCTTTTTCAAACTAATTAAGTAATCTTCCCAGAGATAATACCGTGTGCTTCATCTCGCGGTAATCAAAAAGACCGCTACAGCGTTAGAAAATGCTCACTCCCTCGCTCGTCTTGGCACAGAAGTAACTTAATTATCTTATATCCTAAACATATCGACATGGACGGATTCCAGACGGCGCGAATGTAAACATTTACCATCTTAAATATCGACGGCACATCGATAACTTGCAATTGCATTTTTAAGTGTTCTCGAACATTTCTCGACGTTACTTTATCGATAGTACGTTTCTAAAGGGATATTGTAAACAGATATTCAATCCGCTCAGTTCTATATTTTTTCAACGGCCAGCTGTAAATTAAGAAATAAAGAAATTTTCATGAAGAAACTTATAATATAAATAGCTTTAATAATAATCTTAAAAAGTTACAATACTCCTCCTCGTTTGTCGACGTTGTACTGATCTACTACAATTAGCTCTAAAGCTGTAATTATTTAAAAATTATTGTTCAGGAAGTAACACTTCAACCGCGGTAAAGAAAAATTCAAGCAGCCTTGATGCAAGAAAAAGGAAGAAAAAGCGCACCGTCTCGAATCGCGATAGTCTAACACATATAGAATTATTATTTATACAATGATCCGTTCTTATCGTAATCGTTTTTTCGCGCCTGTCGCAAGGCGTGACTTATGTGTACATGAATTAGACTTACATTTACGCTTCATTTCGCTCTTTATTTATACATAAATATATATATTTATATAATATATGGCCGCTGTTTTTGTGCGATATCATGTTCAGCCTCCCTCTGCGACAGGAGATGCTATTCGCATAATAATACAATAAAAAGTATATCAATGATTTTTTTTCTTACAAGCTAATTTTCTTCGACTTATTAAAGATTGATCCATTCGAATTTTTTTAATTAATTGTAAATTTCTTGTTTGTATAAAGTCAGCCACATAATAATACTTAATAAGCTTCGCGTGTCATATATATATAATCTTTGTATAATTTTTTAACGTCTGAATTTCAATACTTTACTAAATTGTACAAAATTCTCTTAACAAATTAATTCAAGAAATGTTATATCCTTGAATATATGAACATTTTTTTAAAATTTTTTGTTCGTAATTTGATAACTATTAATTTGCCTTGATATTTCCAAAAAGAATTCAAAGTCACCAAGAAAGTAAAGATATCATTTAAAATATCTTTAGGTATATAATTTCATTTGTGTATACATCATATATAAATAAAATTATAACTTTACGATGACTTGATTTTTAATGAAGTATCAGAAGAGCAGATAATTCAGAGAGAAAAGTATGGATTAACAATACCAAAATGATCAAATTCATCATATTCGGCGAAAGTATCTGATGCTATTGTCTCTGTACTTCAAGACATGAAATGCAAGACGATCTATTTTCCTAATTGGAAAACAATGATATGACGAATATCCTCGAACTCTGTCCATTCGTAAAACTAACATACGTATAATCATAATCGGCGGAGGGCGGCGAACATGACGTTCTCGTTACGCAGAAAGATACACAAGCTTAAACGGGGCTAATTCGCGCCGAGGAAAGTACGAAAGTTACGTTTTCCAAAAAATTACGTCTACGTGGGTTTCTTTTTGTACAGTTGTTATAATGAAATAAATGATGATCGCGGTTGAAACGCTGATGAGCATGAAAGGATGATTGTGCACATCTCCAGCTCTCTCTTCCTTTTCTTTCCTCTCGGATACCAGATAGGAAACGCGAAAGAGCGCAGGCAGATGCTCTATCGTAGCAAAACGTTCTCTTTCTTTCTGTCTGCAAGTTTTGCACGAATTAGGTATCGCGAGCAATAAAACATTCACGTGACTCTCAATGCCCAGGATGATCCGTATCAACGTGGATACCGCAGCTGCTTCGCAACCAATCAATCTTATGTTCAAGATCATATAATCCTGTAATAGTGTTCGCCGAGAATATGATCAGATCATCGGTTTCTCCAATCGAAGATCTCAAGTATATCAAGCGTGAATCGAGCCTACATTGATCGGAACTGCCTAACTCGTATTCGTCGTAAATATATCATTGGTAAATAACATGAAAGTACGATAGCCACGCCAAAATCAGGTTGTTCCTGCCTGCTCTCTTTCTTGCTGAATGTTTCCTGCCGATCGACACGATTAAAAGAGCCCCTTCTTCTTGTTCTTCTTATCTTTACCGTCAACAGCCCTGAAAGGAGAATTTTTATATCAAGATTATTGTTTGCATCGCGCAAATCCTAGTTGTACACCGATCGACGCTTTCTGATAATCGGCATATGCGTGACACGAGATGTTCGATGAAGAGAGTGAGGACGAAAGAGGAAGTGATCTTGATGAAGTCTGGTGCAAGAATTTTCGTCCTCGATTATCTCCGTTTATATGATATCAGAAAGTTAAGTTCAATTAGCATAAAGAATAATTTAAAACACAGAAAACGCTGATGTATGCATGACAATTACACTAATCCTTTTCAAATTGCGTCTTTTTCATAATTACGTGAGAAATTCGCATGATCGTGAATATTTTAAAATGTCCAAAAATAATACGATTATATACGGATATATTATTTAATACACTTCTCTTTGTATTTCATAAGAAAAATTTATTGTACTTTTCTCTTTGCATGAACCCTACCTTAGATTTCGCGAAAAAAATTTGTTTATTTAATGCCTTATATTTCGCTACAGACATCCTAGAAAAATGTAAAAAATCGAGATCCGAAAACGTCGACAGTCTCAACAAAAAAATTTCTAGAGTGAGACGCGACTCGTAACATACCATTACGGAAAATTGTTATGCCTATTGTTATCGCCGGTTCGCAGACTGTAATGCAAAATAAATATCTTGCGAATGAAAAATCTATTCATGCGAAAACCATGCTTCGAACCCATCCTCTGTCCGCGATTAGGGAACAACATGCTGATCTCACGTGTGTATCCAGAAATCAAGTCCCGCGTTTCCGCTTCGTGCTTCGTTGCTTCTGATTTTTGTTTAACTCTCTTCCACGTTCGTCTTTTCCGCGGATACAAAGATACGAAGTCGTTTGCATTATACTTGATATTTGAACTCTCTCCGACGTTTTATATAAAACTGCAGATACATTTGCACATCGAGAGCACGTTATCATATCGTCATTTTAATTAAATAAAAGGTATCTCGGGGGAAAACGAGAGAAAAGAACAAGAAGGAAAAAAAAAACGCGAGTAAATTTTAAAAGACGTTCTGTTTGTTGAAAATCCGTTACTTACTCGCTACGATTCAAAGTTGAATTTGATGTGAAATGTTTTATGAAAAATTTTGCGTAAAATATTTTATGAAAAAATTAACTGTATAAAAAGCCGGAATTTAAAATGACGATATGTGATAAAAACTGTAAAAACATATTATATGCACATGGCAGACTATGAAACATAACCAAAAGCGATAAGGGAAAATTGTGTTCGTTTTTTCACGGATTTTCACACACTTTTAAAAAACATTTAATCATTTACTTCCCCTTTTTAAAATCCTATTTTAAAAGCAAGAATCGCAATTTTCCCTCGTCGCGTCGCAAACGTTTCGACAAGCTAAATAATCGCAACGAGAGGATTGAAAACGGTTAGTAACGGTTTTAGGTAAGCATTGCGTTTATTTGCAAGAGATAAAAAAAGATTATCAATTACGAAATTAACAATGTATAATTTGCGAGTGATTATTAGTAATAGGCGGTTATATCCTCTACCAAGCTGTCTCTGCTTCCTCTCTTTGGGATCGATTCTCCGCGATTCGGAGAGTCTCGCCAGTCCGACGAAACGAGACGTCAGATCGTGTGCGAGCGATCTAAATTACGAGCGTGTACCTTTGGGCAATTGCGAGCGATAAACAGGAAACGAATGTATAAGAGTACAAAATCAAACGGTACGAGACACCGACAGCTTGCTGAGAGTTTACAATCGACTTGAGACTTTACAAACCGCGAACTTACGAGATGGCCGTTTATGTCGACCCTTTACCGCGTGTCTCTCGTTTTCTTCGGTGATAAAAATATTCGTCGAACGTTGAACTTCTCTCGAGGCTCTTTTCGTGAGAGACAAGTCTGCAGGCCTGTTTTTTTTTTCCATACCCCAATTCTAAAGAATGACTAAAAGTGACAAATGAGTCAGTGTTGAAAAAAGTGACTCAATCATCAATTTTTAAGAGCAAGATTTTTTTTCGCTCTTCAAAATTAGATCCCACTCCAAAGATTTTAGAGAGCAGGACTTCTTGCACGATTTATGTACCTTTTGACTTTTTCTATCAGCTCAGTATCGTTTTATTGTCGTTGCATAGTTTTTTTTTATCACGTACACTCCAAATTTCTTACAGTGAAATCTCACTCCAAGAAAGTGAAAGTACAACCACCCTTAAAGAAAAAAAATGGAAATATTTCACTTCTTGAAAAAGTGACGATTTCCGCTCTTTTTCGAAAACTTACACTTCACTCCAAAAAAAGTGAGATTTCACTCTAAAAAGAGTAAAAATCGTTACTCTTTTTCCAGCTTTTTTTCAAGGATGGTTGCATTTTCGCTCTCTTGAAGTGAGATTTCACTGGAAGAAATTTGGAGTATATAACATTCGCGCAATGACAATATATCGACACTGTCATTAATTAAGAGTTACAGAATCGGGGTACTGAAATATAGAAAAAGAACAAGCCTCTCTTAGAGGACGAGGGAACTTTTCCAAGAGCTTTGTAATTCTCACAACGTTTTTCTACTGCGCTCTCGACAGACGGGTTGACTTACCTTCGCCAGGCCACGATATCTCGTGAAATATTATATATATATATATTGACCTGGCAAAAGTCGGGAATGCATGAAACGTGTGTGCAGCCCGTTTGTCGTGAGCAACGATACGGCCGTGCCTTTGTTAGCATCAACAATTCGAGAAACATTCCAACAAATAGCGGCACGAATACCTAAGTATGATCGGGAACGAACGTGACACGGATGTGTGATGCGGCAACCACACTGTTGGCAGGGAGAAGAAGAGGGGTCGATTATGGCACGCGATGCGGTAAAGGGTTAAAGTGTACATGTATGTGTGTATAACGTGTTGGATGTGAGTACAAAAAAATGACGCTCCTGCTCGAAGGCGAGTGACATACAATTTTGCGCCTCTTTACATACAAATCTCGAAGTTTATCAAAGTTGAAGTGCCAAAAATACGTTGCTAAATGTACATATCGTTAATATATATATATATACTTAGTAAGTCGTGTGCGCTGCGTATCGCCCAGACCGCGATTTACCGGAGCGCAAAAGCCCGAGACTCCGCATTTGCGTTTATGGTACGGCGATGAAAAACGCGCCGAGAAAATAGCGCACGAGACTGGCGTGTGCGAGTAACGAATCGCGCTTGAGATGTACATTGCGCGAAATACGTAATTCACAACGAAGGAATCTGGAATGAAAATGGTATCCGGGAAAACGAGGAAACCAGCCGAGACGAGTTTGCGTCGTGAGGGAAATTTGAAATAGAATTCGACTTAGCAACGGAAACTTTCTTAACTTTCTACGCCGAAACTTTCTTAACTTCAACCTTCAATGGCAAGTTCCTTTCAATTTGCGGTATTTCTCGTTCTTACGATTAATTTACTTCTACCGAGATACTGCAACTCGATTAAGTATCAACCCGAACTTCCGTCGAAGTGATGACTTGCCGTGATTTGCATTTCAAGCATTAAGTAAAATGTTTCTTAAAACCTAATTCGGCAAATGTATGTTAAACGGATGCCCGGTTAGAGATATACTCGCTAATTAAATATTCGCACGAGAAACTGACTTCAACTTCCAAGAATGCGACCGTCTGCCGCGCGATTTCCATGTCTTCCAGGATACTTCACTCCTCCTACTTTCTTCGGTTTTAATTAACGTTGAACGTACGCAATGTCTCCCGACGAGAGTCGTTGACATAACGATTAATTAACGCGCGAACGAAACGCGTCGACGGGTGAAGTGAATGCGAGGAGATCGAGTAGAAAATAGCAAACAGAGATTCACTGAATCACGCTTGTAAACGCATGTCTCATGTTGTGCAATGCCTTTACGGGACGCAAGAAATGTACAGTCACTTTGGATTACGATATGTATCGAATGGATTTAATGAGCGCACGCACACGCGTGTCGAGTAAGTGCAGCTTATCGCAACAAGCGGTATACAAAGTACCGTTTTATTATGTTTTCAGATCTATTTACTTCAAAATTTATAAAGCCTTTATCGAATATAATTGATTGAATTAGTAAATAAAAAAATTCATATAAAAACTGAAAAAATTAATTTGATAATTTTGTTAAAAATTTGAAGTGAAAAGACGAAAATAAACTGGTAACAAATCGAAGGTTATTGTAATAATCATTTAAGTGAAAAATAATTTAATTGAGAAACTTATGATTTCTGCTTTATAACAAATTCGTTTGGACGCACTGATGCATAATATTATATATATATACACATTGAATAAATCTGAATATAAAAGTAAAGTGTAAATATTATAAAATACATATTTTACTTAATAAAAGTGTATTGGGAATTTTACAATATAATCGTTTTTTACATTTTATATTGAACATCTTTCACGTCAGTCTATACGACGGCTTTATGTACATCAGTATGCAATGAGCATCTAATTCGCTATTAATCATTGCTAAGACAAGCGCTGGCAATGTTGTACAATTTACTGAAGTAAAATTGACGAACGGTTGAGATAGGCAGCACTTACTCTTCTCGAGTATGATAAGACCATCTTTCAACCCTTATTCAGGCGACCGACATTGCGCGTAACGTTTTCAAAAATAAACGACTTCCTTTTCTTATTATTTTGATTTGAGCCTGACTGACTAATCTAAATTATTTTGATTCCCACTCCTGTCAGTCCAAGGAAATATTCGTCGAGTGATACTGTCGCTACTAAGAGAGGGCAATCTCTGGATAAGGGTTGACAAAGGTCGAGCGCGAGGAGCGGTTGGCGCGGCAATCTCGGAGCGGATCTCGCTAGCGAGCGAGAGCGGTCTGGGAGACGGTCTCTATTAAGGGTGCTCAGGATGCTGTATGACAAGCTGTATCTGTGCGGGGCTCTCTTGAGGTGATTTGAAACTGGTGTGACGACGAAGGAGGCTGCTTATCCCTCGGGACCCCCTCAACGTACCCCCGCCGCCTCCAGATCCCTCGGAGGACATCGATCCCGTCCTAGATCAGGAGGATACCCCGATATGGTATACACACAAGAGAGACAAACAAACCGGACTTTTTTCTTTGCGAATGTACATCCGGTAGCAAGCCAATTTTTTATACATCTCGAATATAAAAAAAAAAAAACGCGCACGGACTTAAGGTGCACGGTCTACATGTACCATACCCGCGCGATTAGATCAATGGGACATTAAACGGTGCCCTGGAGAGCGCCGCCGACGTTCTTTGCACGATAAGTTTTCCGTTTTCTCTTTCGGATTTCGCGGGAACGATGCGGCAAACGTCGGTGGCGATTTAGCGCTGAATGTGTGCTTGTCAGCTCAATTAATATAAAAGAAAGATGTTTCTCCAAAGATATTTCTCGCCTTTCGATGTCTTTTTGAATAACAATTATGTTGCCTGGATTAAAAAGAAATGCTTAACGTTTAAATATTACATTTAATAATAATATAATGTCTAATTATGAATTAAAATTATACAGCCTCATTCAGCGTTAAATTCACGATAATGATACGAATGGAAGTCATAATACATGTGCGGACAATATGACGTGAATATAAACTGTAAAATAAAATTCGTTCGGCGATGATAATCTTAAGAGTTGAATCGATAATAATTATTATTCCGTTATTAGTGCAAGCTTCGTAAAAGTGATCGGGATGTAAAGGATCTTAAATGTCAAGCGTGAATGGAATGTATTGCGGTGCAACAACTATCAAATTGTACATCAAAATCTAAACACGTATCAGCGACTACGAAATACTATAGCGAGAGCAAACTATATACTGTACAATATGTACTTACTATCGTATCTTTCCTTTATCTATGAATTTCTCTTCGACTTTTTGATAAAAATATCTTACTTCAAAAATGATTCATAAACTAAAGCTATTTTAAGTTCAATTAAAGTGAAGGGTGAAGTATTACAGTCTTAATTTAGGAAATTTTATTCAATATATATAATATAGATACTAAATAGCTTCCGTAATGTGATCCCATTATGACTTCGTCACGGCAAACTCGATGCCATTTTTGATAAACGATCTCTGTAGCCAGAAGAAGATACGGTGGTGAAGAACATAGTGTACAAGAAAGCTATTAAGCTGCGTCAGACTCTAATTGCGCCGAATGCTTTTTGCGCCAGTCAAATCGGATGTCTAAACAACTCCGAGAACCATACTAAATCACCAGCGGCTAAGCATCAAGCGATATATAACTGCTTCGTATATCGTTCGCAACCTGGTTAGCGATTAAAATAAAATAAAAAAAATCAGAATAAGCTGAATATAAAAATAAAAAATATATCTAAAGACGTTTCTAACAAAAAAATTTCGTGCAAAAAATAACGATATACTTTTCTTAAGATACAACGGAAAAATAAACGTATGAGAATGCAAAAAAAAAAACACATCTTGTCGTTTTCGTCGGTGCTACTTACTCTTTCGAATTCGCTTCTAAGCTGCGTCTACGTAATTCTTCAATACTGTGTCCGGTCTGCTGTTCCCAAGCAGTTTTCTCCGCCTCGAACGCTCGTCTCTTCTCCTCCAATTCCCGCACTTGCTGCTCCAACGAGCGTCGCATTTGTTCGTGCCTTCTCTGCAACTATTTACGGATTTCCCATATCCCAACGTTAGTACTACTCAGACAATTACGTTTCGCCGAATGTAAAAACACCACGTAAGACAAAAATTTGCGTCGATTGAGAATAATTTTATGTCAAAACTAAAAAGGATCTCGATTGAATAAGGAGTTACTTTCTTAAATGCTACATTTATTATCAATTAAATAACTAATGATCCGAACGAATTTTTACCAATCTCGACTTAAATTACAAAATAATAAAAAAAAGATAACATCGGTGGCACACTTCACTTACATCCGTCTCGGAATCCTTCAACTTCTGTCTCTTTTCGCGAACTTTCATCTCGAAAACTTGCTCCATCTCCGTTTCCATTTTCTTCATCTTGTTATCATGTTCACGTTTCTCCTCTTCCAGCTGCGCCAACGGGTTCCTAAAAAGATTCAAATAAATTCAACCTAAAATGTATGAACCGATGAAATACCGAATATCGTACTGTCGAAATACAGATACAGAATGACGCGTGTGACATTCAGGTACTCTCGGAGCACATAGCTAATATTGAGCGCACTACTATTTAATATTTCGTATAAAATCTCGTTAGCTCTTTGCATGCACTTCAGAATTTTGTTTTTTGTATTCTAAAGACGAACTTTCGGTCCTTCAAGAAACATTATAAAAGTTCTTAGTTAATTAATACAATTAGTAAAACAGATAGTATCGTATATATTAATATAGAAATAATTATTAACATAACCAACATGAATTGGCGGATCATTAGGAGTAAATAATTACGTAATATTGCAAAGAGATAAGAGTAGATATTAACAGATATGACAACAACGTAAAAAAGTTACACGTCCAGTATGATGAATATTCCGAGAAATAGAGACACACGTATTTTCCATAAATGTACTCTTTATCGCGAGAGATAGCTAAAAAATAACAATAGAAAAATTATTCTAATAGCGCGATAGAATAGATAATTTATTGGTAATAAGCTTATATAAGTGCTTTGAGACCGTAATCAGGTTGGACTAAGCTAACTGGAGCTCGGATTTGCATCGAAACGATATTACGCAAATTACAGATGATAATTGGTGCATTACTGTATCATTACAATTAAAACATTACCCCAATTCTGCGAGATCCGATTACATTCCGGACATTTGTTGTGAGATTTGTGCAAAATATCATCTCAATGCGGAAATATATGATTTTACATCTATATCACGTTCAAAGAGTTTATAATATAATATGAGAGCATTTTATAAATTACCAATATATTCTTATCATCGATTTGCAATATTAATTCATTTTTATACACGATGTAAATCAGAGCTCTTATACAGAAGCCACAACACATTTATAGGTGTTATAAAAGATATTACAAAAGTAAGTAGATACATTTCTTCTATATGTAAGGGAACTACTTGTTTGTGCCAAGTACTAATGCAAAAGTAAACGCACATAAATATAAAGGCGTCAAGCAAATATAAATTGTGTTACATTCTCAATATGGAAAATCTAATCTATCAATTATTCTCTTTTTAAACAGCGTACAAATAATTTGCATCGGGTATTATTGCAGAGGGCTCACTGGGCATATCAAATGTAAGCTAGAGAGCATTTGAACGATCTCGCGCAAAAAATAAATCAGAGAACATGCATCTTAATTTTGTAATTATATATATAATGCAGCAAAAATACAGAGTCGAAAGAAAATACATGACTTATATAAATTATAAGCTGAAATAATTAAATTAATATTTTAATTTAGTTATTTACCTTGAAAACCAATTAAATTACGGATTTAAGGCGTACGAAGTCTTATTCATTAAATTGTTTTTTATTAATTTTTCCGCTTTCAATTTTGTGATACTCTGCACAGTGAATCCTCCCAGATTGGAAGATTATAGGGATAGTCTCGAAACTCGACAAGGCTTGTGCACACAAAACCATAGTATATCTTTTTGAGCCTTATTAAAGGACTTACCACACCGTCATGAAACTGTTCATCACTCCTGGAGGGCACAAACTGACCAATAAGAAATTCAACATTAAAATTCGCACGGGCGACACGCTGTCGAAGGGTTGGTTGGTTCGTTCCTTCCGCTCCTTCGGCAGCGTTCTCGTGTCTAGTCTACGGATACAGATCCCGCTCGCGCGATCGAGATACGCTAAGATAATTCGAGCGCGAGTCACTGGGGCCTTTGATAGTTTGCATGCACAACCTTTCTCTGAATTTTCTTCAGGACCATAAAAAAGAATGAAAAGACAGAAACACACCGTGTGGTACAAGCATGTTTCGTACATTACACGCAATCGACTCGCAAGAACCACAGCGTTATATTATTGGTGATACTGAAGCTCGAAATAAATAATCATCTCATCACGCATACACAGTCGAGTGCTTCGCCGAGACACACACCGCGTGCTCAAATCAAACTCAACGAAACAAACAACCTTGCTCGTGTTTCGAACAGAAAAAGCGAGCGTCGTAACAGCGGACCCGACTAAAGGAGATAAGTAGTTGTCGCGTCATCTTTATCACATCCGGTAATAATATTAATATTGCGCCACTGGGGCAGGTGAATTAATAAATTGAGCCGCATTATGCGCATGAGACTAAACGGCTGTTTTATTAAAAGATATTTTCGAGGCTGCAGTTTTTATCATTTGATTCTAGCGATGAATGATCGAATTGATTTAATTTAAGAAGATAAATAATTTAGCTATTTTTTTCTGTTAATCTATTTTTTTCTTTTCTATTAACCTTTTTTTATTAATTATGACGCTCGATTTGTCTATTTCGATAAGACAAGACACATCTACTTTTCGACAAAACTATTCTAGTACAGTAATAAAATATATAAAGAGAAATCGTACGGATGTACTTACTTATTCGAGGCCTTTGTCGGTTTGCCGTCTACGCCTAGACCGGCCAGGGTGCGACACCTGAAGTTCTCGTAGTGTACATTGTTCGTCACGTCTTTTAAATCCTGCACGTGCGTCCTTACTACCATGTTTCGGAGCGCAATGAAGTCGCAATGTTCCAGATTCTCAACTACGTAAAGAAATAAAATAGGAATGGATTATAAAAAACGATACCTCGTTTGCATGGAGGAAAAATATGCGTTAATCATATTTCTAATATTCAAATGATCTTACTTATCTACTATTTTACATACTACTTATTTCATATTCATATAAATAGTATAAAAATGCGCAAAGATATACCAAAAATAAAATTATGTATAGCTAAATAAAAAAAACTTTAAAACATAAAAACTAGCTTGACTCTAGTTCTGTAGTTATTTAAATGATAACTTTTGTCCAGTATAAAATTTCGCGCGACCATTTCGATTCAATGATCCATGCATACCTTCTGCAATTCCCCATGGATATTTTCTTCCTCGTATTTTCTTCCCGTCGTGTTCAATAACTGTATTCGCTCCCACGACTGCGAATGGCACTCTGTCTCTTAATAATTTATGGAGTTTGGTGTCCTCTTCTTCTTCGACCTCTGGAAACTCATAGATCTTTATTTTGTGTTGTGCAATCTCGTTCAAGATCTGGAAAACGAAACAACGATTAAATTAATAATTTAGAAAAAAAATATACAAACAAGTACAGATGATTTATTGGATTGCTATTACATACTTTATTATTTTTATATGAGATTTACGTGAGAAAAAGTTTCTTAAAGATTACATTTCTGTTTCCTGTATTTTTCAATATAGCAAATTCTTTTCTTTTTCTTTAAAATTGTAGTATATTATAAATAAATCGTACCTGTTTCTTGAAGTGTGCGCATTCATCCGGCGTCATGGTGTCCGCCTTGGCAATAACAGGTATGATATTAACTTTGTCGTGGAGACGCTGCATGAACTCCACATCGAGCGGCTTCAATCCGTGACCAGAGGGCGCGACGAAGTAGAGACAGCAATGCACCCGACTGTCTGGAATCTGCCGTCTTGTCACGCGGGATTCTGCATTGAGGAATTCCTCGTATTTCGACTCGATGTAGTCTATTACTGGCACCCAACTAAATAGAGAAACAAAAAAGGTGTTATTCACATAAATTTTAAAAGTCCAAAAACGAATACATATGGGATTTAAATGTGTCGGAAGCTTTCAACTGCTTCGTCAGATTATTACCAGTTACTGTTGTCCACAGCATCTCCGAAACCAGGCGTATCGACGACCGTGAGGGTGAGATTTACACCCTTTTCCTTCAACAGCACTTTGCTAGTTTCCACGGCAACCGTTTTTTTTATCCTGAGGCTGGGTCCGGGATATTCGGCACTATATATATCTGCCAGGAACATGGAGTTAATCAAGGTGGATTTACCGAGACCCGATTCCCCTATAAAAATATAAAAAGTTTAGTATGTTTTGATAGATATACGTAATCTTGAGATAATTCAATTTGTGGGACTTTTTTAAAAATTGAGTAATAGAGTTTAACGCAAATTGTACAATTACAGTAAAATACATATTTTAATTACTAAAACAATTTGATTAAACATTTGCGGAAACGTACAATTTACAGTTTTAATTATAGGAATATTCTAAAAGATATATATTAATCGTGCAATATTTTAGTTGAAATATTTCAGTTGAATGACTTCTTTTCAAATATATTCTTTTGAATATTGTTTCATAAATACTTTCTGTACGCAAAAAGAGAACTGTTTAATTCTCAAAAACAACTTCCTAGCTAATATCCCGTCATAACGATCATTAATCTCAGTCCAAATATTTATGGTCGACATTTCTAGGATGTCTGCATCCAATGGATTCGCGGTCAAATATATTCGATGACGGTATCCGAAACATAATGAGATAAAATAAACGCCGTGACCTCTTAATGCGCAAACCTTGAACCAGGCGAAGTGCCGCGCCTACGCCTTCAGCCAAGGGTAAGCTCTTGAATTGTGTGTGTTCTCTATTTACGGAGGAACGGCTCCGCTTATACGCGGGCTAATAATAGCCCCTGCACGCAGCAGACCACGCTCTCAAATTTCTCCAGACCCAATGACACTCTTTCACACCCGCGTGCATGCGCTTCGTTCAAGATCGACAGCACTTTAATCAGTACTTTTGTCACCATCTCCTCCTCGAACTCCCAGCTGAATTCTTAAAGTGTTTTCTATGCCAATGTTGCGTACATATTTCCAGATCGACATCATTTTATTTTATAAAAGCATTTATCATTCGTTCATAAGGAATATAGATAATTAAACAAATGTGACATATCCATACGTTAAGTGCCTTCAATTATTAAGGCTCCTCCGTCATGCAGTTAAGAAAACCGGAGCTAAGTAATAAATCTAAGCAGAGAGAAAAAAATACAGACTGCAATTAATAATTTATAGCCTTTTTCAATCGGCGAAGTAGTTACGCGATGCGTTATTACAGCAAATTGGCCGTTTCGAGTGTGCACGACGGTAATTCATAATAAACAATAACCGAGGTCAACGTAGAGAGAAGATTCGACGGTCGACGAAGGTCGAAATCAAACGTGTTCTGCGGATGAACATCCTCGCGTGTGAGAACCGCTGAACCTCGGCGACAGCCTTGATCCAACAAGCGAGGAAAGAAGTAAACGAAAGAGAAAGAGAAGAACTCGCACGTGCTCGGCAGATGAGAGGTTGCATCGCGAGATGATATTCCTGACGAAATGGGAATACCGCTGCAACTACCGAAGAAACGGATCCCTTTGTCTTTTACCCAGGCCAGTTCTCGCGAGACAGACGACCGTTGTTCTTCCGCTGCCGCATAATAGGGCATTTTAATGTCCAGCTCCCCGTGAAGTGAGATCGCGTTTCTCACCGCAAACAGAAATTCGACCTCGACGATAGACTTCGCGGCGCTTCCATGGGCTGCGATTACTCCTTATCGATTCGGCGTTGCTTTAACAAAGTGCTCATGCACGTTTCCATATTTTATATAAACGTAAATATTCATTGATTTATCTCTCGAAATAGTAGTTTCTTAATAGTTACAGCTAGGTTACAACTGAATTATTTTAAAACAACGAATTTACATTAATTCTAATATATTAAAAATTGTTTATATTAGCCCTTTAACGCTCTACACTACGGGAAAACACACTTGGCATACCCAACATAATTCAATTACTTATAACTTATAGCATAAAAATGAAATAAACAATGTTTTTTTAAATTAGACATTAAGGAACATAATGATATCAAACAAATATATGTATTTTTATTAACAAAAGTTATAAGCAATGGGAAAAACATTGGAAAACCATTAGGAAAAAAGTCAAGTATGTCGAAAAAGTGTGTTAAGAATTAAAAAATGTGACTGTTAATTACTTGTACAATTTATGTGAAAATAATTTCATCGCGCAAACGACCTGTCCCAATTTTCACTACAAACTATACCGAACTATTACCGACCTACGACCATGAGCGTGAATTCGAAGCCCTTCTTTACGGCTTTCCTGTACACCTGGTTAGGGAGATTCACGAAGCCGACGTAGCCGTCGAGCTCCTTGGGCTTCGTAGGCGGCGTAGGTCGCGCATGGTGCAGCAGACTGGTCTCCTTGTTACTGTCCTCCTTGGAAGAAATCGCGGTACGTGCCGACTCACGCCTGTTGCTATCTTCCGAGGCATCATTCGTGATCGCCGTTGTCACCGCCGTGGACGGTAGCCGCGACTTTGCGTTGACCCCGGTCAGGGCCCCACTCGAATACACTGGCGCCGTGTTAGGAGACGTGAGGCTACTGGCTGTCGTGGTGTTCGCCACCGAATTGTTCATCTGAGACCCAGGGCTCTGTGTCGGAGGCTGCGGTGGCGGTACCGACGGCACTGACGGTGACGAGATTAAACCCGTGCCGTCGCCTTTGAAAAACAGTTCACGCTTCGTCTGGATCTGCAAAAAAAAAAAGGAGAATAATCATTGATTTTGGTTATGCCTATATTACGTTTATCGGGTATTTGAATTTCTCGGGAATTTGAACAATTTAATAATACAGCCAATAAATTTTTATAGCGAAAAAGAAGCTGTTCCTTTTTAATTGCTTCAATTAAGATTTTCATTCAAAATTCCCAGTAAGTTGTATCGTGAATTGAACATTTTATTCGAGCTTGAAGCCGAAGAGACAAGTCTCTTTGATAATCTAATAATAGCCTAGTAATAATAAAAAAAAATTGTAATAACATGCGTTTTTTGTTTAATTATTTGAACAAAATTTATTATTATTATTGAGGAATAGGATTATGGTTTCATTATCCTCGTTTTCATTTCCGATTCGGTTGAGTGCGAACAAGGACGAGACGTGTCTGCGTTTTATGCTTTCAAGACTTGCCGGGAAAGGCCAACATTGTTCCGCGATACAACTACCAGCAAATACCGCGATTCCGCGTGTTACTTCGACCGTGACATGTCCGTATACGCGAAATGCAGGTAAACTCGTGAAAGAGCACCGTGAGGCGATAAAATCGCATCGCCGTGGAAGAGCGATCGATATTGCCAGCCGACGACGGTAGCGCGGCTTCCGCTATAACTACAGTCTTATACACTTCCGGCCGGAAGTGGCCGGAGTGCTAAACATCGACCGTTATTCGAAGGACAGCAAAGTTGCCGCAATGACCAGCGAGACAATCTTTTCTTCGTGGACTGCTTTTGGACACAAAAAAAGAAGCGGTTTATATTCTCAAGACTATGGAAAAAGAAGTATTCATTGATTACAGCTTCGTTATTAAGTATCAGTTAGAACCTTTTACTCCAAGTTTATTATTTAATATATCTGAGTATACAAATAAATAAATGAGTAAATAATAACTGAGGAAAGGGTGAATATTCAGTCGAGGCTGAACTTTAGTGTCTGATATTGTTAAATTCTAAATACATCTGTAAATTGTGTAAACTGTACGTCATTTATTGTTGGTCTTAAAACGCAATCATAAACGAAGTAATAATATCACAATTGATTGTCAATTTGATATAAGCTCTGAAAATATCTGTAAAGAATTTTTTGTTAAAAAATGTTACCACCGTCACAGGAAATCTAATCTATTTTGATATATTTATATTAAAGAGAATTAATCGTTGAAAGAAAACAAACTTGTTAGTAAAAGTTATGGCGGAAAGTATTTTAATTCTCCGAGTCGAATCACACATAATCAAGTGTCCCTGTAACAATAAGTATTCCGGTTGCCTTATGCAATTCGGAAAGGTGATTGGCCGTCTAAGTGACGATCGTTTAGCGTTTCGAGTCATATAAGGGTACAGGAAACCGCGGTGCACGCCGTGCGTTCCGTTACACTTGGGAGCCGATCGTGGAATACGAATGAATCAGATAATCTTTGCGTACACACGTGGCGACTCATAAACACAGCGTGCGTAAGGTCAAGGCAGAGAAAAGACAGTCGTCCATCTTCGTCGCGTCATTAAGAGAGTTCCCGCTAATGAACCTGAATCAGTCGGTTCAACAGCTCCTTCGCTTTGGCCAGTGTTTATCTGAATTTTTACCGAGTCGTTGTTGTTAACTGGAAAAATTACATTTCGCGCAATTTATGCAATGCTCGTTTTTCGCTTATTATTTGACTCCCTGTGTAATCAGCTAGTTCTCGCATATAATGTAGCTTATAATGGAAAAGCTACGGAAAAGCTGACATAAACACTCGATAATGGATTTTTGACTACGATACATCAAAGGTGCTCGCAGATTCACAAAAAGTTTTCCACTTTTGATGAAAAAATGACACTATAGCTCTAAAACTATACTACACTTTATTATCGAACTTTGTGTCTATGACAGCTTCGTGTCTATGGCACCACATTATAAGCTACATTTATACGTGGAAATTAATTCATTTCACCGGAACTCAATTTTATATATATGTATATATACATATATAAATATAAAAAATTTATCTTAATAGTCCTTATTTTTAATATTTGAATTGTTAATTCTATTGAGCCGTTTGATAGATTTATTTGTAATTGTTATATTATAATTAGCAAATCCTTTATTTCCGTTTATATCATGTTGTTGTAAAATAATTCTCCTCTCATCGAAATACAGAGTTTTATAACCATTATCTCGGAACAAGTAGCGACAGGAATGAATGTCGCACAGAAAGGTTCTTGTCCTCTGAGCGAAATCTCACACGTTGAAGAAATCTGAGCCAGATGAGGAGGATTACCGTGCCGAACACGAGGCGCGTAAATCCCGATAGATACGAGAAGAGATCCTCGCCCTCGAAAAGCGCGAAGGCTCCTCGCTTATCGGTACGCCTCGCCGAGTCAACGTACGAACGATTGCGCTTTAAAAGCATTTCACGCATACACGGGGAACGCGGCGGGCGAGCGAACAGAGTGTAGCGTGTTATTAAAGTTGCAGTTTAAAGCGCTGCAACTTTGTTGCAGTCGGATAAGCCTCCAGCCGTCGGCGAAATCCATCATGGATTAACGAAAAACTATACACGGAAACGAACGATGTCTCTAGAGTCTAGCACATCCTTCTCGGCTGTACAGTGACAATACAGTCCTAAAGATACGAGTGCTTTGTTGCCAATCGATAAGATAACGGCGTAAAAATCAACCACTATCTTTAGAGCCATTCGATATATGAACGGAATATGGGAAAACCGACACGCGATGTCGCAAAGCTTCATGCTCCTCTTTTAAAATTTTTAACGAGCGTACTTAATGGACTCCGGAAAGAGACGATTTCGTCACATCCGTTTCTTTCGGAGAGGCAACAGTGGATGCTTTCCGGCAAGAGACGCTAATGACACGGTGCAAGGCAGCGAATCATTTCATCCTTGTTAAACATCGGCAAATAACAAGGACGAAGTAATTCACTGTGTGTTACACTGTGTCAACTGCTGGTGTTTTACGACAAGGAACGCAGTGTAATACAGTGAATCTTTTCATCCTTGTTAAACGTTGGCAAATAACAAGAACGAAGTAATTCACTGTGTTACACTGTGCCAACCGCTAATGTTTTTTCCAATAAGAAGCACAGTGTAGTACAGTGAATCTTTTCATCCTTGTTAAACGTTGGCAAATAACAAAAGGACAAAGTAATTCACTGCCAATTGCTGGTGTTATCCAGCAAGAGACAGTGTAACGCACTCTTTAAATCTCGTGGAGTGAAATCTCACTCGAAGAGACTCAAAATTTAATCTGTCTTGAAAAAAAAAAAAAAGTAAAAGTACGGCTGCTCTTGTTACAGAGAGTGGCAGATTTTAATTTTTTCTTTTTTTTTAGTGAGATTTACTCTTTTGAAATAAAATCCTCTTCAAAGGAGTCTCAATTCTTTTTTGAAGTGAAGCTCCATCTACCCTGGACCTCTATTACACTCCAAAAAGGGGATTGAGATTTCACTCCTTCGGAATGAATCTCATTTCAAAACGGTAAATCTCACTCTAAAAGGGGCGAAAATCTACCACTCTTGAACAAGAGTATTATTGCAGTATCTTTTTTCAAGACAGGCTAAATTTTCAGTCTCTTCGAGTGAGATTACACTCCACGAGATTTCGAGACCAGCGATCATTTCATCCTCGTTTAACAGTGGCAAACAACAAGGATGTAACGACTCAGTGTGTTATATTATGTAATCTGCTTTGTTGAAAGTATCTCTTTGTTGAAAAGCATCCAGTATTATAACAATTGTTATTTGCACTTTGCTTTCGACGTCCAGAGTAAAGTGTTGATTCGCGTGCGTTGCTCGCAGGCAAGACTCGGCGACTGCGAGAGAGCCACTCTCTGCACCCGTCGCTCGTAGTTATTGTTTTTCGCCGTCGAGAAAGGATGACATAGTGCACTGGAACTCCCCCTCTGGGGAAGGTGCGACGGCGAGTTTGTATTCGCTTGGCGTTGCCTCTCTCGCGTACACAAAGTGACTCTGGAAATCGACGAGGGACCGTACGGTTCATCCACAACAACAGAAAACCGGTCCCGCCGCGTGCGATGCAGCATCATTCCAGGAGTAAAAAGCTCGCAGAGAGCCTTTCGAAGAGCGGCCGTGTCTTACGGGAAAGATGTACATGAAAAAAAAAAAAAAAAGGAGAGAAGAGAGTAAGATGACCCGATTCCGCGATTCCAGCACACCCGAAGATATTCGACGAAAGACGCCGGGGAGACTCGCGTAGAAAAGAGATTCAACTGTAATTAATGATAAAGTTAACAAACTGTGATCTTGATAAATTTCCCGGAACCCATAACTGACATGTTTACCTTACTTAAAAATTACACGTAATATACAGTAGTTGAGGAAAAAATAACTACTCCTTCGCATGTTTACAATAAAATGAGATGCATATAGGATGAAATAAAAAATTCTTGCGCGGTAAATCAATATCTCTAAAATTGCGATGAGACAATTTTTATGGAAGCACGTGAAGTAAAAGTTCAAAGAGTAAATATAAAAACCTATAGAATATTGAAAGGCAACCGACTCCACTGAGGAATCTCTCTGTTTCTCTGTATCTACAAAGCAAGATGGGAGCTTTAAACACATTTCGCGCAAAAACAAAGTTCTCGCGGAGAAGCAGAAAATACATTTGCTCTTTCTCCGGCTACCGCTACAATTTTAATCGAACGGCGTTCAGCAGAGAAAACTGATCGGTGAGTGCTCAGTGATTCGTAAAAAATATTTTGTATTTTGTTAGAAACAGTTCGCTCAAGTCCTTGTTAAAATTTTGTGTTGAATTTTTATCATATTCGAGTTAATTTAAAACGTAAATTCTAAGACAAATAAATAAAGTATGTATCGATGGAACATATCATAAATGTTAATTTCACTGAAAAAAATATGCTTCCACAGTTTGCTCACAAATTGTGTCAGTATTATTTTCTTTGTGCTTATTTTTTTCATTTTGCTACATACAATAATATTTGTATTACTTTTTAACATGTAC